AGCAGAGACAGGGAGGAGTGTGGTAGAGGTAGGTAAAGCCCAACAGACAGACAGTGACAACAAAGAACAACATACTGTAGAGAATGACAGTAACAGCAGACAAATGGAACGGACAGCACACAGACTCTACAACATCCTCAGATTCGTTTTCTTTTGTTTTTACTCTATGTGTAAATTTGTTATAAACGTGTGCTCTTTAAAAAGTAGTAAGCATTGTTTGCCAGACACATACATTAAATGTTTAAATATCTGTTACATATATGGTACTGCTTATATTATTTCACCATCTGTACACAAATGTAAGTAGTGAATGTGTGTGTCCGTGGGTGGGGCTGTGTCGGTGTGGTAATGTGGGCCGGTGTGGCTACAGTGCCAGGGCTGAATTTTTGTCCCAGTCCGCCCCTGGTCGCTAGTAGGGGAAAAGGGTGACAGAGTGCATAGTGTCCAGAGGTAAATGCTTTCCACCATTTTGAATGATATATTACTGTACATGTAATTTGACAATTAGTTACAACAATGGAGTGAAACATTTAAACATACATACTGTAAACAAAACACACTAACAACCAATCAATGTAGCGAGGATTTAAGAGGGTGGAGTTAAAGGATGAATAGGGAAAAATACAGAAGTGTGGAGAGAGTAGGAGAGAGAAGAGACAAAGAAAAAAACATCTCATCGAACCAATTAAGCCAACAAAATAAGAAAGAGTAAATAAGAAAGGTAGGTTGTGTCCTTACTACATTATTGGTCATTGCAGGCTGGAATTAAAGACAAATCATCATCCTCTTTCTTATTTGAAGTGATCTTCATATCTAGTTGTAGTCCTGCTTAAAAGTGAAATGTTGATGCTTGGATACCTGTTTTTGCTTCTCGGTGAGTATCTCTAACATTTCTTGTACTGATAATAGACAATATTTACTTTGAAAAATAATTTGTTTCTCAAATGCAAACTAACAAGAGGTTTGATCGTGAGTACTAACAACTTGCACCAATGGTTAACCATTAAAACATTATCAACCAGTTATACTGTTTTCATGATTGTACAGTAAAATAGTGAAATAAAATTCCTTCCTTTTGAAAATGTTTTTGACGACACCTATCCAATTTTCTGTATTAAAAAAAAGCTACCAAAAACTGAAGAGTGCCTGCCCGAGGAGATACCAGGGATTTTTAATTTTTGCGAGCCCTGCATAATCTCTCTTTCAAATAAGGTTTTAAGTAAATGATTGCTTTGCATGTGGTGATGGGTAACCTCGAGCACAGGTTTGTTTTTGATATTATTATAGGGCCGAATGAAACTAGATGAGAAGATAATGTATAAAAGTATGCATTGGTCTAATACTATCTGACACTGATATGTAAATAATAATGCACAGTTGGTTGGTCAATATAAAAACAATTATGATCAGGAACCTGTTGCATTTCTAAATAAACAAATACATACAATATGAAAATGCAACAAAGACACATACAACACTTCTTTGACATTCAGTCTTGAGTTTAAATATTACAACAGAAATGTTAGTACAGATTTTGTAATAGTTTCTAAACTTTGGTGTGCATATGCCCCTGCCATTCAGATTTTTCATGCTTTCCCATGAAATCATTCCAGATATATAACCATTTGCTCTTTATTGCTGCATCAGGTGCCATTGACATTCACACTACAGCAAATAACCTGCAAGGTATTAAAGTTTATTTAATCTTTAACTGAAATTATCAGAAGGACATATTCTCTAAAGAAACCAATTCAGTACTAATGATTTTACGATAAAGTAATGCTCTTATTTTGTAATACAATGTTTTAAATGCTCATCTCGGGCCATTCCAGTGAGCAAACTTATGTGACACAAAATTTCAAATGCACAAAAAATAAGTTATTTGTATTTCTCTTTCTAGAGAATATTGCAATCAACGGAAAAGCCGTACAGTCATCTACACTCCCCTACGAGGCTAATAAAGCCATTGATAATGCTGATTTGTACTGCACTCACACTGAAACCGAGGCAAACCCATGGTGGAGGCTGGATCTGATGGATCTACAAGTCATTCAAGAAGTGATCGTCACTAACAGGATAGACTGCTGCTTTGAGCAAATCAATGGAGCTGAGATTCGCATCGGAAACTCTCTGGAGAACAATGGCAACAACAATCCCATGTGATGACAAATTTGCATTTACTAAAATGTAGCAAGTTCAAACATAGATAGTTCTTCAAGTGTAATGACAAGAGTAAAATGATCTCTCTCTCTCTCTCTCTCTCTCTCTCTCTCTCCTCTCTCTAGATGTGCGGTAGTTTCTGGTATTCCAGCAGGCAAATCAGTCTCTTACTCATGCGGTGAAATGCAAGGACGTTACTTGAATGTGGTCATTCCTGGATATTCAAAGAATCTGACTTTGTGTGAAGTGAGAGTCTATGGAAACGGTACTTCTTGACTAATAAAAAATACTATATATATATATTGGTCAAAATTTAGGAATACTTAAGATTTTAATGTTCTCTTCTGCTCACTAAGGCTGAATTTATTTGACGAAAAAATACAGTAAACAGTAATATTGTGAAATGTTTTTAAGATTTTAAAAGAACATTTTTATTTTCCTCAGAAACCATTCTAATATGCCGTTTTGCTGCTCAAAAAACATTTCTCATTATTATCAATGCTGAAAACAGTTGTGCTGCTTCTTATTGCTGTGGAAACAGATACTTGTTCAGTATTCAGTGTTTGACTGGTAGAGTATGCTTGCTTGCCTAAAAATGTGCACTAACTTGCTTGAAATGTTCCCTAACATGCAGTTTACTCACTTTCCAGATAGCGTGAAATTACGTGGTAATGCGACTCAGTCGTCTGTATTTGAATACTACCGGGCCGATCAAGCCATTGATGGAATAAAATACGCCCTGGGTGTAGCCTCATTTTGTACCCATTCAAGGAAGCAAATGAATCCGTGGTGGAGGCTGGATCTGCTGGATAATTACCATATTAGAACCGTGACTATCACAAACAGAGCCGACTGCTGTCCAGAACGACTCAACAATGCGGAGATTCGCATCGGAAACTCCCTGGAAAACAACAGCAACAACAATCCCATGTGAGAAAGTTACTGACGTACCCGGTGTGGTAAAACATAACAGTTTTACAAGGTGGCAATTTCGAATTAATTTGTATGATTTCAGATCGCACAAAAACGTACACATGAAAACGTAAATTAACCACCCGTTTACCAAAACGTAAAGAAATACGAATTGCCATGAGAGTGCGTTGGATAATCAGTACTGTCTGATGCAAGTAAAGAAACAAAAGTGAAAAAGTTCTCAAAAATATATGAAAACAGAATGCAACATTTTTCCAGCATCATTTGATCCGGAAGTATTTTTCCTGTCAGGATTTTAAAAATCCTGAAAAAATAAAGAGATATACATTTGGAGAAAAAAACTATTTGAAAATCAGAAAAACAGACAAAGGTTTGCTTGATGTATTTCCTGAAGCTCTGCAAATGCACGTTTTATATATTATCATTATGTAAATGGAACTTTTACAATACTGCTGTTGCATTTTTTTTTTTAACTACAGAAATATTTATTTTTTCATTTGAAGTTAGATATCCTTTACTGAAGTTTTGCAACATTTCAGATGATCCAACCTGTTAATGCAATACACTCTGCACAACAAGCTACTGTATTCCTTTATTACATCTTGAGCAAAATTATTGGTGTGTTTTCAATCATCTCTTTGACTCTCTCTAGATGTGCTGTGATTACAAGCATTCCACGAGGAGCGTCCCACAGCTACTCGTGTCCCGATATGGAGGGACGTTATGTGAACATCGTTATTCCTGGAGATGGCAGGATTCTTACGGTCTGTGAGGTTGAAGTCTATAGGGGTTTTCCAGGTAAATCACTATGTATATAAATAAATATTGTACATTAATAAATAAACACAAATATACTCTGTGAGGTAGAAATATATAGTAGGTCAGCACTGGTTCCCAAGCAGTGGTTGTTTGCATTTACTTTGTACTTGTATAAGACAGACACAATTACTGCATCAATATAAGTTCAGAGACATAAACAAAAGTTCCCTTTCAAGGGAACTTCGAACTGCGTCCTCTAGGGGTCGCTATGGGGAACGCCTCGTCGTGACCCGTGTTTGAAGCATACATTGAAAAAACACCAACAACACATTGGCCGGCGACAGCCATGACGTCACTAGCGGTGCGACTATATTATAAATAGGCGGCGGGAGAACACATCATCCTCTTCTTCATCTTCACTGACTGGTTTGTTTGAAGCGTTCATTTCTGTGGTAAGAGCGATCTCTATTCATGTCATTATGGCGAGCACTAGCAAAGCGTTTAGAGGATGTGTGCATCCGTGTCGTCATTATTTTACATCTGATGACACACACGATCTATGCGTTGTTTGTTTGGGCGAAAAGCACCCACGCGATGTCCCCGATGGGGCAATCAGCGTGCACCGTGAGCATTTTCCAATGAAAAATCTCCGCTCTCGTTTGTCTCTCTTTTCGAGGAAAGAGGCGCAGCCATCTGCTTCCCGCGATTCAGG